TGAATGAAAAATTATTAATATCATGTGAGTTTGTGTGGCCTCTTTAAATGAAAAACTATATGTAAAAACTTTTGATTGCTCTAGTCTGAAGCTACTCAGAAATAAAAACATCACAGAGAAAGAGCATTCACAAAGGAAATAGCAGCAAAAAATGCCTTGCAATACCATGGGCTTTYAGTAGAACATTTCCTCTGAGTGTAGGTGCTAAAATTATTTGTTRTGTTGAAAACAGCTCAACTGGGTGAATGCAATCTGCTATTAAGAGCAGACTTCTCCATGCCCCAGGCTGAAATAATCAGGTAAGAGTTTTGCAATTAGTTTATTATCCATTAGAGAAAAACCTAACTAATAAATGTTATTAAAATCTTAGAAACTTTTCTTTAAAAGCCAACAGGTCAGTAGAAATCTGAAGGTGGAAGTGCTGATGCAYAGAGATGCTTGGAACATGACCTTAGGTAATGGGTGGTTAAAAGGATGAACTAGTCTGGATTGTGAAAGCTGGCTGCYGTGAGTCTGAGAACATGAAAGTTTTACTCATGTAAAAAGCAGCAAAGGAAACAGAACCACAGCCTTGGCCTTGAGGAGGGAAGTTCATGGCTTTTTCAGGGATCTGCTTGGCAGGATCTCACAAGAGGCTGCCTTGGAAAGCAAAGGGACACAGGAGTGTTAGTTGACTTCCAGTGACATCCTCATCAATGCACAAGAGAAGYCCATTCTGACACGTCAGTACTCAARCAAGTGTGGCAGGCAGGCAGTGTGCACAAACAGGCTCTCCTGCTGGAGTTCAGACTGTAGGCAAGCACAGAGATGGTAGAGTACTTGCCACCCAGCAGCAGAAGAGAGACATGACTTCAGTGAACATGGAAGCTTTTACTAAAGCCAAAATTTAGCAAGAGTTAGAGCTCATACAGGACTCAAAGAGCAACAAGAGGTGCTTCTGAAATTACRCAGGCAGTGGAAGAAAAATGTGATTCTGCTGCTCAGGGGCAAGGTGACTTAGTGACACAGGACATGAGGTGCTTAATGTCTTTTTTTGCCTTTCTTTTTACTTGTGATGTCTAGACTCAGGCACTGAAGCACTGAAGAGAAAGACAGAACTTCAGTTATGTGGACATAACTAAGCCCATGGAGTTGAGTAGGATGCTGCCAAGGAAGCGGGAGAAGTGGGGTGGTAGGAACCTTTAAGGTCAACAAAGACAAAGTCAGTCCTGCATCTAAAGCCAAATAACTTCATGCCAACAGTACAGGCTGAGCCTCAGTGGTCAAAAAKCAGCTTTGCAGGAAAGTACTTCAGGGTGCCAGAGGAGCAGCAGCCTGCTGCTCTAAACCAGCCAAGAATGTCAATGGCATTGTGGGCTGCATTAGTAAGAGCGTGCTCAACAGGTTGATAGAAGGAATTGTTCCCCTCTGCTWGGCATGTGTGAGGCTACAGCTGGGAGTGACACTGCATCTGGGGCATCATGTTCAGTTTTGGGCTCCCCAGTGCAAGAAAGATACAGACAAACTGGAGCAAGTCCAGGTTTTGATGGGCAGCCAARGCTGCTATCAGTGTACAGCCCAGAAAAGTTTATCCTGTTAGCTTGAGTCAAGTAACTCAGTTAAACACATAATTAACCAAGTGAAGCACAGCAGGCCATGATACAGAGACCAGGTAAGATGATCTCATATTTTGTGAGCATAAAATAAGAAAAAGACACAATGGAAAACAGCATACAATTTTTTTTTACCCAGAACAAGAGACTTGAAATAGAAAATTATTTTATCATCAGCCTGCCCCTTTAGTGCACCAATGCAGCAACTTCAYGCCTAAATGAAATACTTTGCAAAAAAATTAGAAATACTGATGATCTTCCCGGTTATGACTCAGAAACTATGTTCTTTAAATGAATGCTTGCATTGGTGTGTCAGCAAGAGTATCAGGGAGCTGGAGGAGATAGCTGGAATGCTGTACAAGTTCTGACTTCAGTGGGATAAAGTTCCCTATCTATTTGTCATGTTAACAATGATGAAAGTATAGCTTGTGCTTAGAGACATTGCCTAGTTAATTTCCATGCATTAAATCTTTAAATAAAGATTTGTAACCTAAGAAAACATTGAGGCTATTGTACTAAAATATACTTTATTAAATACAAAATATTTTCCCTCTGTCATCATCAAACATATAGATAGGATTTATACAGATACACGTACATTCTTATACATCAAAGTACATATGTTTATAYTTCTCTGCTCTAATTCTGACATTTGTGTCATGCTGTAACATGTCCAAGTTTTACAATGTAACATTAGATAAAGCTCCCCACATTTTATTATAGAARTATGTGAACTGTTTCCTGTTGTCTACAGACTTCAGCATCATTTCCTAATTGAGAAGTTGTGACTTTATGTGAGTTACTCCTCATTTCTCTGAAAGATGTCACCAATGCCTTCTCACTTCTGTCTTCTGTTAAAACCTTCTATCCAGCCATCTAAAGAAGCTTAAAGCTTAAAGCCAGTAAGGATGCAGCGTYCAGTTCAGGCACAGGCACCTGACAAACCCTTTTCTATGTCTGCCACTAATTCTACCASACTTTTCATTTGTATGCCTCCAGTACAGCCTGTCAGCACAGGGACCTGCCTTACTTCCTCTAGCTGGACACYGCAAAAACAAAGACCCAGATGATTCCCTTCTCACAGGCTGCATTGTCTGGCTCTCCAGGTCTCCTGTACAGTAAACTCTAGTGCCTGCTATAAATTTCATGCTGTAATACTGCAGTTCGAGTTTCTTAATAGACTGAACCCAAAATCAAAGCTTCGAATGCTAAAAGCCTAGAGCACCAATGATGCTCACCACCGCTCCAATCTAAAAGCCTGAAGTAATTCAGTATTTTTCTCATATAATCTGGGTGTGCTAATTTTGATTTGGCAGTTCTGTTGCATTCTCCCTTTGCTGCAGTCCCCCTCCCTCTCCTGCTGCTCTCTATAATTCTACTTTACCTCTTACGTGGGCCACTGAAGCTGTTCTGGCTGGGCATCCTTTTTTGGCTTCTTGAAAGTTTCTGTTGCCAGTAGATTCTTTCTCTCTGGATGCCAATACTGTCACTGTGATGCCACTACTGCAGGAAAGAATGCCTGGCCTGCCATGAGGGAACAGCCAGAGCCAGACACAGAGCATATAAAAGCCTTGCATTCACTTATCTGCAATATCTGTGCTACAGACTGGCTTATTCCAGATAAAAATCTGGATTTACTGGATGTTTGCAAAAATCCCAAATGTACAGAATCCCTTAACTGGGAACTTCTATGCAGTGCAAGAAGCTCTGTGTGGGTATTGCTATAGTCTTCCTTAAAAAACCACAAAGGGCCTAGAAACACAACCAGACTCCAGGGAATCTGCAAGAGCAGACTGCCTGCCTCAGGGTGCTTCTGAAAGCTCCAGTCCCTCTCTTGCCCTCTCCTTCTTGATCAATGTCCTCCTCCTCCTAAATGACAGAATATAAGCTTAGCAAAACCTGTAGGAATGCTGCCCTACCCCGAAGTTTAGCATTCAAGAGATGACTCAGTACAAACATGAGTCACAGATGTGGCAAAATGGTCACTACTGTCATTACGGTCCACTGGAGGAGATCAAGTGTGTATTACCTGCAGAGGGTAAATAATCAAAGGATGGATGTCATTAAAGTCCCTGGCTTCTCTTCAGACTCTCCAGTGAAAGACACAGTACYACCCACATATTTATGGAGAAGCAGCCCAGTGACAGAAGGCTAGAAACACATAAAAGAATCAAAGCCAGGTCCAGTACAACCACCTTTGGAGGAAGAAACAGAACTAAAAGCAAGAGGCAGAACTGGCAGAGACCTGCTAAAAACTCCCAATATGTACCAGGCACACCATGAGCAAGATGCATGAAAGGCTACTGGAAATTGAGCCATGCAAGGAAAAATACCAGGCAATATACTCAGACCTGATCCTGCAATAAAATTACTTCATCATCTAGAAGCCGCATCAGATCTGCAAACACTGCTCACAGTAGATCAGYTCTGACCTATCAGATGATTTGGCTGTACACAAATCCGGCACTATTGGTGAAACCTCACCATTATTGTCAAGGTTAGTAAATACACCTTGATACTGCCAATAGATCATACACAAAAGAAATACTGTACATTTTGCAAGCTCCTTCTACATTTGTTTACTGATAAGAATTAGGTTAATGACAGTAATTACCCCACAACCTACTGTTCTAACAAATGTATCTTASCTTTTTGATTTCTAGCACCTGTTTCTGCCTGTCATAAACTTTGCAAAAGGTCTGAAATGGGAATTCACAGAACTAGAGTTTATACTAACAATAATGAACAGAACCATATTGGACACTGAGACAGAATAGATGCCATTCTGATTTCCCTTGTACATATACCAGCAACAAATTTCACTTAAACAGCACTCTGGTAATAGAAACCATTATGACCACAACAAACGCCTCTAAATCCTCAGTGAATCTCACTAAAACATGAAAAAACAAGCAAGAACCATCAGGAAGCTAAAGAAATTATTCTGTTTACCTTTCTTGTGGTTTTCTTTTCTGAGGAGATACCCTATTATGTGAAATGCAGAATTAAGGACTATCTCAGAGATTTATGGACAGGACAGAATTCTATTAAAAAAGACAAGTCTACTTCTGAAATGATCTGTTTACTTCTGAAAGAGGCTGCCAGTCTAACCAAGAGTAAGAATTTCAAATTAAAGGCTAAGGTTTTATTTTTGTTTTTTGTTTTTGTTTTTTTTTTTACTTCTTGGTTACTGATGTTGGTTTTGCTTTGTTTTGTTTCAAAGAATACATATTTGAGGAGTTCATCTGATCTGAAATGATTATTAAAATTCAAATAAGAAAACAAAATCACAGATAACAGGTTTAGTTTAGAAAGCAGTAAACAAGAGACCTGAAGATCTCTAAAAACACAGCCTTGCCATTGCTTCCAAAATAAGAGGCAAATAGCCAAAAAAAAAAAAAAAAAAAAAAAAAAAAAAAAAAAAAAAAAAAAAAGATGGCATTTTAATAATTTACTATAGCAGCTAGCTCATTAGCAATGATAAAAATGTGTTTGGGGTCATAAAAAAAAAAAAGAGAAGTCTTTTAGTTAAAAAAAGAAAAAATTCTATCTCTAAGGTTGCCTCATAAAAGCACTACCATTCTGTCCTCGCAGTTCTTTTGTAAGATTTTTTGTGCACATACCTCTAAAATGGATGATTCCTAYACAAAGCAAGAAATTTATGGAATCTACATGAAGACCTGAAATGGAATTAACAGCTACATTCTTACTTAGTCCTAGATCATTTTACATTATATGGATTCCAGTGCAATTCTTCTGTACCATCACATGGTTGACTGTTTTTCACCCCATGAAATCTTGGTTCTACTAGATGCAGTTTTAATTTAAGAGATGTATTTATATTTCATAAYGTAACATCTTAGATTATTTTCTCTGTATCTTGTTTCTTAATGTATGAAAACGACATTCTTCTTCCATACTCCTTAGCCTTTTGTCTYCTACCACAAGAGAGCCAACATCTCCTTGCTCACCATCCCCACCCCACTGCACTCTCAAATAATTTCTTCAAGACTCAACTTCTCAAGAGTGTGGTCTAGTAACTTAAAAATTACCATTCTGCTACTCATTGAAAGAAATGCCTCATGTATCCCAGATACAGATTTTCACAAAAAAGGTATGAAATAACATGGAATTAGCAAAAGTAAGTTAAATGTGGAATTAGAAAAATTATTACATTTTCTAAAGCAATGAAAATGAACAACAGTTTTATTTAAACTGTAGAGATCAAATAAACTAAAAAGAAAGAATGTAACACTTATAATGGCTTCAATGAAAATCAACTGTAACAAAAGAGTGACTATCTTTTTACAGAAATTCATAGACTCTTCTTCTGGAAGGCAATAAACTGCTCAGTAATTACTAGAATACGTGATTTTCCCGGGTGGCCTCCACGGTGGACTCATTTCATTCCCATGGTAAGCCTGCCACTTCTTTAGGTTCTTCTCAAGCCGTTTTCTCCTCACTTTGTTTTCCTGAGAATAAAAAAAATTGTCAAAAAAAGCCCAAAACAAGATCACAAAAACTCCCCCACAGGCAACAACTCCACTAACAGAACTGTTACAATTATTGTTATGCCTTTCTTGTGTAAAATGAAAAGTAAACACGCAATGGACATTTGCTTTTTGGAGCTCAGCACATCTCTTTTAGTGATTCAGTCACAGACACTGCACAATGGCTGCACAAGAGGCTGCACACTGGGTGTCATTTACAATGAAGGTGACTGTCTCAAAGACAGGCYGTGTTTGTGCACTGTCTACTACAAAAAACCCAACACCTGGCCTAATGGATTAGGCACCGTATTGGTCTTGCATGCAATTACTCTCATATGAATTACTTTTTGGCTTTAAGAGGATACCTAAATCACAATGCAAAATATGTTGTTCTCATATAATGAGAACATTGATGCATCACTGTAACTTTCTGTACTTATTAAATCACACTTGCCATGTACTAGAACAAACTGGTAATTGAACAATTTAATTTCAAACAAAGATCTAACTTACATTACAAGCACTGCAAGGTTCTAATTCTATTTTCAATTGTTTCAAACAAATGGAGCAATGAGGATGATGAGGGATAAGAAAAATACTTGCAACACTCTTTTTGTGTCTCRGTAATTAATGATTTTCAAGAGACCTGTCATTCAAAAATCAACTTTCAATTATTTATAATTATTTTTGAATTTTTAATCAATTCCACTSTATAGTAAATAAGCATTCTTCTTTTTAAAGATGACTGTCATTTCACCATCAGGAGGACCAGCATCTAGAGGTGCATCTGCATTAGCTATTTAATACACTGGTGAGCTCTCTATGGGGGCAAATTTTCCTTGTAATCACACTTGCAGGTTTGTGGTGCATACTGCTTATTGACATTAAGAAGTCAATAAGATGCACACTTCTTACTGACTTAGAGGGAGTTTTTCCCTTGGTGGAACCAAGGATGACTGACATTACAGACCAGAGTATAATACAGCATGCCTCATATGATGGGTGGATAAGAGGTCCTTAAGCAGCTGACTTTCTCACAGGAACAGTGCACTCACTCCTAAACCAACAACTGGCAAGCATATCACTATTGGTAAAGATGCAGTGGTGCTACACCCACTTAAATGCAGTGCCACATCCAGCCTTGGCCTTTTCATCTTTTGCAGCCCAACAGCCAGTATTTTGAAGCACACATAAAAGTTTTGTATTTTCACATGCATGAACTGCATTGCAATGAAAGCACTGCTCCTAGACAGTTGTAAAATAACCACTACTCTCACATAACCTGTGATCCTATCCCTTTGATGGACACTGTATATTCACAAATTCCCAAGATGCTGGCATTATTTGCCTGCTACTCATATGTGAGCAGAGAAATAGTGAGGTAACTSTGGCTGAGGGACTGGGAAAAGGGTGTGGAAGCATTACTATAAGAAAGGGAGCTTGAGTGGAAGTTTTCTCCTTTTTTACACATATACAGCAGTTACTACTAATATGTCCAAAAATTGTAAAAAGCAAGGCAACACACTAAAATATCAACTCTATCAATATGATTTCAATCTCTGCCCTTTAGCTTTTTGTCAACATAAATATGAAGATCCAATTCAGTTACGAACATCTGGTCTGGCTAAACAAGTATACAGTAATTTCATGTTGTTACTAGTAAGGCTGATTAAAAGCAAGGCAAGGTTTACACGGAGAAGGAATGCTCTYTGCTAAAATACTCAACACAAAAGTTCATCACAGTTAGTCTAATAAAAAATATTATCTCTCTGTACAAACTGTATCTTTCTGGATCACATGAAGTAATTGAGACAAACTAGGCTTGCAGCACTGTGACCTTCTGACTCCTCTCATCCTACACTTTTGCCTTCTTTCTCGTTCCATAGAGATTCTCCTCAGATGAACGCATCTAGTGGCTCTGGGTYTTTAGAACAAATTCAAGATATTGTAAAATTCTTGAAGGGAACTGTTTAGTACATTAAGAGGGAAGGAGTCTGCATTATCACTGATATTTTTCAAAAAAGAGATCAAGATATGTGAAGCAGTACAGATGGGCATGGGAAGAATATGCTCTAATGGAATACATATATGATACATGCTCCTGTTTCAGAGTCATTGCACATATCCAGTCAACTTTTTACAAAAATCATASAATTATATTGTACAAGGATATGTATACCATCAGGACAGGTAAGTGAAAACTCATTAAAATAAGATTTATTGAAGCAGTATTGGCAAGTAGTTGAGAAATTGCATACTACAAAAAAAAAAAAAAGTGCATTTTACATTTATCAAGCACTCTCTACTGAATACATATTGCACAACAGACTCAAGTACAAAAAAACCCAAACCAAAAACAGAACATACACCCAATCCAGGAAGGGAACAAAAGTTGCTTTGGATTTTTTAACTGTACTTCAGTTTTGAATGCTTGGGTTTGAAGATCCAACTTTCATTAATRAATCCAGTGACAAGGAAAGAATGTTGAGTTAATTTAACTGCTTTTAAAAAGATTAAATTTGAAATAAAGACTATTGGCCTCTCCTGTTTTCAATAACCACAGTTTTTATGTTCTAGTCCTAACTACAGTWCAAATTCTCACAAGACAAAACTGATATAAATATTCCACAGAATAATAAACAAGATGTTATTTGCACTAATTGAAGAAGAGTAACAGAAACAGTGAAGATTAGATCAATAACTGTAGCTTGTCTTATAATAGATGAACTCAAATGTATGGCTTGATTTCTGTGGAGCTTTCCTACTCAATAGCCTAGTAAAATGAAAATATTTTTCACTTTTCGCATTCTGGGACAAGCACCTTCTTTAGCAGTGTGACTGCTACATAGGAATTGAAATTTAGATAGAAYATTACAGATATAACAACATTTAAGAGAAGTAACAATAGCAGTGTTATTTSTAACATATTGCAAGGGCAGGACATGAAAATTCCAATATAGAAAGTATTTTCAAAGAGATCTTATTAAACTACATAAAATTAATAACCCACATCAGCTATTTCTAAACTAGAAAAGCAACAAATCCTGGGACTTATCCAGTACATCCTTTCTTGATGTTTTTAAACAGCTTTAGAATGCCAAAAATAGATACTGCACGTGCTCAAATTCAAGGTAAAAATAGCAAACTTCTTCTAGGGCTTTTAACATTACTATGCTGGTCTTTGAGAATTATTTTAGAGCAGCCTTACTTCTCACTGACTCACAGAAAATGGAGAACGTAACTTATCTGGGATACTCCAGTAAACAGGTATCAAGATTAGCATCTCAAAAATAATGGAAACAAAACTATCTGTCATTTATAAACTTTCTACGCATTTCTTCCCCACATTCCACTACTCAGAGTAAGTGCATTTCTATGGCAAGTGTCAGATACTGGTATTATGCTTTAAGTAAAAAATAATCACTTATCAAGTTAGATTGGCTGGAAGAATTCTTGGTGAGTAGCAAGAAGCAAATGACAGGAAAGAAACAAAATAATCAGAAGCTTAAATTTCCAGGCAATACAAAAAAAATCACCTCAATATTATCCTTTTTATGTTAGTATTSTACAAGTGTTAATAACCTTTTCCAGAGCATTTATTTTCAGGCTTGAAARTAATCTTCTCTACACATTTATATTATCAAACACAATGACCTCTAAAAGCAGAAGTAACAGAATTTCCATTAACATAAAAGCAGTATGTTTCTTCTATTTGAGAAGAACTACAAGGAGATTTTTATGTCTGTTTTATTCATGCATTATGGCCAACGCCTGATCCAGGAAAGCTGAGGATGAATTTACACATTTACTTCTGTTGAATATTAATAAAAACATATTAGAATACTTCCCACTATATTACTCCTATTTTATTTCCATTGAAAACAAAATCCTGTTAGCTGAAAGAAAACTCATGAAAGGATTCCAAATTCTACCCTCAGATCTGATGCCTGTTTATCTATCTGCAGGCAGATGTCATCTTTGTTCCCTTGGCAATACAATGACAACTTTACACAGTTTCTCTCCTGAAGTTCACTACTGGTCTGTATTTTCTGTGTAACTGTACAAAGTGAGACAATATTCTGGCCAAAAATGATGACAGAGCCATTTYCCAATATGCTTTCTCAAATAAAGGTGTGCAAGCTGCAAAAAGAGAGCATAAATTCTTGAAGTAAAAATGTGAAGACTGGACACGAGACRTATCAGTCAACACCTGCACACAGACCCTGAAAATGAAATCATTTTAGAGGTACCTCTGCCAACCAGTTCAGTACCTATCCCATCTTACACCTGCTTATTTCCCACGCAGGTACACGTATATCCAGTTAGATTTSGTCATTTCTCCAACTACTAAAATTTATATTAATAATCTCACTGAAAAGATGACCTCAGGAATTTACACACTATTTGAACAGGGAAGCCTGCACTACGCAGCATCTTTCACTCTCAAAAGTAGGGATATTGTCTTTTATTTTCATTTAGAGTCCAGGACAGCAAGGAACTAAAACATACAATGCTTTGGTTCAACTAAGCTGATTAGGATAGTCACAGTAAGCAGAGCATACCAAGGCAGTGAATTASTTACTGTTCAAAGCATAGTAGTTCTGACATTGGCAATCAGGAATATTGACCAAGTAAGAAATAACCTAAGAACAGACATTATTCATTTTACTAAACTGAGCTGAAAATCTCTTGACAATGGGGACCAGAAAAAAACTTCTAACCAATGATTACAGAAATGAGAGGTATTCCAACAGGGGACCAACAGGTCAAACATCTTAAAATATCTAAATCTAAGACTAAAAAAGTTTGAAAATAGAGAGAAGGGAGCTCTATTGCAGGCTCTTGCTGTTTTGTGCAATTGTGTATTTTTGAGTTAGCCAGGTAAAGGATGATTGTCCTTTTTAAACCTATCTCACACCTGTATATCTGCCTGACTCAGCTCTCATCTATCTGCCTCTTCCTCATGCAAAAAACAAAATTAAGCTATTGATGGAAAAAATTAATTCCTGTAAGGACCTTAATCCAGTTGAGCTGCAAGAGCCCATTCTTATAAATGGCAAGAGAGACCATAGCTACAGGACATGTGCCAGAAATCACATGAAAGAAAGACAACAAAAGAAACACTATTTCTTTTTGACTATTTCATTGTCAAAACCTTGACAATGAGTATGAGGAAATGGAGAATAGTAATGAGCTCTCTTCCAGTTTGTCTTTCTGCAGTAAGAGTAAAAAACCTGCCTTATTGTTGGGACTAGAATACTGGATTAATTTACTGCTTTACAACTGGGACACTGCTGTGAGAAAAATATTATTGGGAGCATCAGAATTCCATCCTTTCTTGCAAATGGAAATCATCTTGAACCTCATTACAAGTGCTTTTATCAGCTGTGAAGTATCCAAGTCTCCCTTTTCAATGCTTCATTGAATGTACACGCACTGACTGTCGCAGGTGGAGATGCTGTTTGGCTTTGCAGGTTTTGCACTTTGGCAAATTGGCCCTTCAGAGAYGGTGGCTCCTGATATGGAATGGCAGAAAATGAAGACTAACTGAAATGGAAAGCTCTAGGTAGGGAGAATATATTTTCCATGTACGCCACTTTTCAAGTGCACTGTACTTCAGCGCAATTATGCTCATGAATTCTGCGGAACAAGAGAYGTAATGTTGCCACCGTCTGGCCTCTCTTGTAACAGCACAACACCCCACGATACTACAATACACTCACGCTCATGACTACATTAAACTTCTTGGTTTTCACAAAATGCCAAAAAAACCCCAAACCCAACCAAGCGTACCAGCCATCTTTCATATTCCTCCAGAGCCTTTTCACTTTGTTCTTCCTTCTTTGCTTGTTGCATTTCTTGCTTTCTTCTCTCTCGGAACTTTTCTAATTTCTTCTTTTTYATATATTCTTCTTTATTTTCATTCCTGAATAATGGAAGGAAAGAAAAATAAGTCATCATGTAACAAACTAAATGCTGCATCTGTGACCAGTTAACTAAATTGAGTCAAAAGAGATATTTTACACTTATAATAGGAGATTGAGTATATGTATCTAAAATTTTCCATTTTTTGTATCACCAAGGTTTAAATGAATCTACTTCTCTGTCTATTATGGAATCATCTTTTCTGTACTTCTTTCTCCCTAATTTAGTATCATAAAAAAACCCATTCTRAACTTCTATCGGTAACTGTAAGTTGAGCATTGTCTGTGAAATCTCTTGGCTTGTAAAACTAATACAGCATTTCTCCAGAAGATACATATTATTTTCCTCTTCCTATATCTTCATTCATACATTGCATACCACAACACTTTAAATATTTACCTTCCTTCCTATGGCTTAGTAATGAAGCATGAGAATAACCATGTAAGACACAATACTACTCAATGAATTTTCTCAGCTGCAGCATCTCTGCCTGGGCTTAGCTAGTGTCCTTTTGGRGAGGAAAGGAACTAAATTAATAAACTGAAAGGAGTTGCACAGCTTGTTTTCYCTGTTATACTTGCTCTCCATTGGGAATGAAAAGTCTGATCCCAGGCATTCCATTGTCTTCCAATTACAAGCACATCAAGAATTCACAGAAGATTATTACATTTATAAACAAGGATTTTGGAAGCTACGATATAGCAAAACACAGTGAAATAGTACCATTTTTCAACTGCTGATGCACTGACTCTCCTCTTTTCTGCAACTTGTTCCTCTTCTATCTTCTGCCGCATTCTTTCAGACTGCTTTTCCTTCCTCCTTTCCTCTCTTAAATATTTCACTTTTCTTTCTTTCCATTTTTCGAATGCCTAAAGACAACCACAGATTATGAGAAATCTTACACCTCACCTTTTTGTCAATACTTCACTAGTCTATTCTGCATTATTATTTTTGGTAATTTCTACACATTCTAATTTTGGAATATTTGCTTGTAGAATTGCTCAGAAGCGTGTATCACTATACATAAAAAATGTTATTTTTCCAGTAATAATAGTTAATTGCTAGTATATTTATATGAAATTTATTTTATGCTCAGTTAATAGACTCCAAATATAGAAGCCTGTTTGTCTGCAAACGTATATATAACATATTTCAGACAGAGCAGAACCTAATATGAGCTTCGTTCAGAAACTAAGCATGCTGAGATTTAAGATTCTAGTTAATTTCCACCTCTTTCTGGATCAATCAAAAAATTTTTTTAGCCTCCTGAGCCACATTCAAATATACATTTATGTACATATTTCACATCACCGCTTGTGCTGCTTTTGTTTTTTCCTTATCCTGTTGTGCTGGTTTCTTTTCCTCAAGTGCCTCAAGCTTCTTTTTTTCACTTAACTTCTTTGCTTCTATTTCTTTCTTTTTTTTCCAGGCTTCAAAAGATGCAATTGATTCTTCTCTTTTAAGTGCTTCTTTCTAGATGGGAAATAAAAGTCTACATTTAAATCTATTTCGGTATAAAATTCGAAGTGAAACAGTATGCTTTAAACTTATTGCTAAATGGATCAATGAAGAAATACATTGGTTTGCCAACAACATTGCAAGTGTTACAATAAAATTTTAAATATACACAGTGGGTTTTTTCTATTTTTAATTTAACTGAATGAGATAAACTACTGCAAAATATGTGTAAAGGATATGTAATACAAGTGCTTAGAAGTGAAACATCAAATACTTGAAAGCCAAATCAAAGAATGTGGATGATACTATTCAAAATAGGATCCTCTGAGGTAGGGAGTAAATGCCTCAAGTTCTCACGCACAAAACAAAACTTAACACCTTAAGAGCTGAGCATCCCAAGGTCTTTGTAAACTAACCTGACAATTAATCTAAGAAGCACACTTCTGACACATCTTAAGTAAATGTACAGGGAAGCATTGGACAGACACTGTTAACAGAACCATCACAAGCAGACCATGCCATTTACTGTTTCACATCACCTTGTGCTGTTTGGGAAAACCAGAAAGCCTATAACAGCAGTGATGCACTTAGGCAGAAAGCACCCTTCAAAGAATCATAGTTTKTAAACTTTTAAAACAAGAATGTAAACAAACCTCTTCAGCATTGTTCCTTAGAATTTCAGCCTTCTTCTTTTCAGCTCTCTTTAATTCCAGTAGAAGAAGCCTTTTCTTTTCCAACCAGTTCTGCAAACATCATTAAAATATTTTTAAAGTCCTTTTAAGGTATAAGTGAAAAGCAGCACCAATATAATGGCCACCAAAATTACTCCTAGTTCTTCCACGTGGTAGTTAAATAAGCATGCCATGTGGAAACTAAGCCGTCATCATATGTACATTGTGATCAAAAAAATATAAGGCTCTAAAATCATAGCTACAAAACCCAAAAAGCTTAAAGATCTTTAAAAAAGCATCTTCCTAGAAACACCAAAAAAGTAAGCATTAATCAAAATTAAATAGAAGAATGGAATACAGCTTCTTATCACTTGCTATAGAGGAATATTATTCACATTTGTTGTCTCTCTTGCAAATACCTATAATTAAGGAGAATAAAATCCTACTGGCAAAAGTGAGACTTCAGGCAGCATTAAAAGGTTATGAGCCATCTGCAGRAACAGGTTTAAATTTTCAAGATTTAACTGTATATTTAGTATGCAGCACAAAGTTAAAAGCATCCTAAATGAAGATCTATTTAAAATCTATGGAGACAATATCTATATGGATTTGAGGGTCTAAAATTTGTTCTAGGACCATAATAAATATTAAAAACAYATACCAATATGAACAGTGTCTGTTAAGGAGAGTTGTTCTCAAACAGATTAGCAAAAATCTGTTAAAACCCAGAAAATAATTGTTGTGAAATTCTACAAGGAATTTGCATAGATTATTCTTCTGAAAAGGGTACTGGAGTTGTAATCATTTTTCCTGACATTTGAATAGAACATATCATGAAAAAAACCCAACATACCCTACACACTTATGTTAAGGATCAAGTAGAAATAAAGGAAAATATGTGCCTAAAATAGTCTGACACAATAAATTATGAACCCCATAAAAACATTATGTCCCTTTCATCAAGCTTTTTAGTTTATAATATGGGGAAAAGGCATAGCCATCAGACTAAAAGGATTACTATACCTGTAAGCGTATGAAAGGACTATAGTGAAAAATATGGATTTCAAGAAAATATGAGGTGTTGACCCTTCCATCAGGATCTTTATATATAGTTTTGTTTGTTTTGTTCATTTTTAAAATCTACCTGAAAAACAGCTGCTCTTAAATTATCTACTTTGACAAATTCTGCACTTTTTTTCTGCATGGATTTATCCTCCAATTCCTTCAATGACCCCAGATCCTGACAGGAAAGAGGTGAAGTTGATGGAACAGCTTTCCCCTTTTTCTTTAAATGCACAAAGGGTGTAGACCTAGGAAAATACAGGATAAAAACAAATTAATGACCTTTCCACTTATTGTAGCTGACACCGAGTAGTGTTCCTTTTATTTCAGTGCATACCAGAAATTACTATGATTCTTTTTTATATGCACTTTTATATGGGGACTGGGGAAAAGGAGAAAGAACCTCCTTTTCTTCTGAGGGCTGTAKTATTGCCGAAACAAGGTATTACTCAACATAGCCAGACCAAGAAACTTTACAAATTACTTATACTTTTATCTAAAAACAGCTTAAAGCCTGCAAAAACTCCAGTAATGCAYTCTTTATAGACACTGGCAAAATATTTGGGAGTGTAATGTGACACAAACCTGAGCAAAGGTCATAACAACATGCCACATGCACTAAGCTGTTCACTAAGCTGTTTTCCACAAAGGGTCAGAGACTGTCAGCAGTGAAGACAATGCTGACAGAAAATGAGAGTGGAGCAGCATTGTCGGGGTGCTTACAGGCATCTGACACGGCTCAGACTTGTGAACTCGACATCCTCTTACCTGTCAGATAAAGAAGCCTTTGTGTTTTGTAGAACTCTTTCCTTTGTTTCACCAGGTTTCTAAGAAACACAGAGGAAAAGTAAGTTAGAGAGTCTCTCAAGCAGCAGATCAGGATGAAACAGGTTTCTGCAAGCTAACAAGAATACTGAGAATTGGACCCGCCCCTTATGGGTCCCTTCCAAGTCAAGATATTCCACAGTCCCATGGTTTTATAAAAATAGGCAAGAAAGACACCCAAATAAAGAGAAGGTAATGTACAGGGTAAGAAAGAAATGAGAGAAAAACAAAATAAAACATAAAAGCCCAAAAGCATGCAATCAACCAACCTTCAGAATGCCTGTATCATTTTGGAATGACACCTAGGATTGTTTATTTGTATTAYGTAAAAATACAGTCAATAGTTTAGAAATGAAAACAAGTAAAATGAACCCAGCTAGGTTATGCTATAAACACTCTTTTAACTCTTTTKAATACTTCACTGTAATAATTACATGTATTTACATATTTTCCTTTTAGGATAAAGCATAGCATGCTTTGTGTCTTATCCATTACTCAAGWCAAACCATGGATTCCATCCTCTGCCAAGACACACTGCTCACTGCTATTCACCTATCCTCACAACAGAGGTTTGACATTTTCACTTGCAGAAGTGCACTTTCTTAAGGCTGGAAAACACATTTCAATACCTCTATCTGATTTAAACAATTTGTTGAAAAGGTATTTCTCACATCTTTCATAAAGTTATACAGAATTTATAAGAGCCTCAGCTCTAGAAACCAGACATAAATTGCCAGCACTACGACAGCGTTCTACACACCTAAAGTACCAACCAACTTTACAAAACTTTCCATTGAGCTTCCAGGATATCGTTCTAAACAATGATGAACTGTGTATGAGCAATACCTTGACAGAGCTCTTTGATGTATTCTTTGTCTCCCTATGCTCAGATTGATCATTCACTGATACCTCCTGCATCGTAGCAGTTATTATTTGCCCTTCTGCTACTTTCATCATTCCATCTGAACTGTCAGCTTCTGCCTGCTCCAATTCCTCTGTTTTCTCATGGACTGCGGTCCTTATTTGTTCTGTTACAGAAGGGGATTTCCTACCATCATTCTCCAGTTTCAAGTCACTGGTGCTGACTGTCTTCTGATCTCGATCTAAGGAGAGAAAAAARATTGAGAGGACATGTTAACAAGAACATCATTGTTTCTGAGTATTGTTATTTCTGTACAAAACTTATTTCTAGAAAAACCATCAGTTCGTTACTAAATTTTATATAGTATAACATTTTTTTCTGTATACCTCCTTCTAAGAACTATATGCAAGTAGAACAGTATTCACTTGCATTTGCAAGTTAGACTGGAATAGAAACTGAAGCTTTAACTAATGTTAGAGAATGTGAGAGCAAAACAAAGGCAAAACTTTTCATCTGCCTTAAGTGGTTGTAGTGCAGAAACCAAAAGCAAGAGTCATTGCAATCACAAGAGCTCTTCTGACATCTAGCAAACTTCTAATGAAGTCTACAAGTCAGTACTTTGGGTAAAAAATACTGCTTTCCTTGTGTGGTGTCTGCCAGGTGTGTGGGACATGAGGAAATAACTGAAAAATTCTGCACTGAGGATTTAAAGAAATCATCTCAATCTTGTATGTGTAATTAGTGAAACTGTTATTTATGAAACACATTACTAGTAAGACTTAAAAAACATTTTAATCAGATTTCAACTGCCAGTGATGCAGAGATCTAAATTTGTCAAATAATTCAGACACAAGCCAAAAAATGCCCCAATAAAACCAAATTAGAAGTCTTCCACAAATTTCTGGTGGAATTCTTTAGAAAAACAGATTTTTTGGATGATAAATTAACTTGAAGAAAAGAATATTAATGCCCATAATCCAGGAAATTTAACCTAGATTTACAGTGATGAAGGTCAGTTCAAGGTGACAAGAATTCTGAATTTATAACCAATATTGCACTGTGTCACTGCACTACTTTGATTCACATGCAGAAAAGGAGTAGCTCTACTTATTTTCTGCCAGTCTAAAACTACACAAGTACAACAGCCAGGAAAGAAGCATCTGCACACTCAAATACCTAGCACTTTAGTGCCATCATGTGGAAAGGAAAAAAGAAGTTAATACCTTTAATCACGCTCTASCAATTTCAAAGTTGTAACCTTCCATCACAGGCAATGACAAGTCATAAATTTATCTCAACATCAAAAAGGATCAATTCCTCTCGTACTAGGAATTAGATAAAAAATATTAAGTCTTTTGGCACATATAGCAGAATTCAATTTCTGCTTTGCACATTAAAAATGAATTGGTTACTCATAAGAAAACACTCAAGTTTGGGTGGGTTTATGTGTTTGACTATACATCCAAAGTGTGTCAGTTATCTTCAAAGTTAAAGATAACTTGAAGTTTTAACTTTGAAATAATAAGATATCTACCACTCATAAATGTCTTGCTTACAGCTCATTTTCTGACATTCTCTTACATTACAGCTTCACAATGTCTCAGTACCCTGACTTCAACATTGTATTTGTAAACAGTGTGGTCATAATTCCAGCTCATAGAAAAGGAGTTTTATGACCTTTTCATCAAAAGGTGCATGGATGCTGTGAACACGATATGAATACAGCTTTCTGAGCCATGCACACACTAAGGAGGCATCTTGACCCTCTCACACCTTCCATGCACATGCACTGATGGAGAGCTGGACTTTAAGGACCTAAAAAGCTGATTTTCATCTTCTGAAAGGAAAAGGCAAACAGGAACCACCTGCTCTTGGCCCACACTGGTTCAGTTTAGCCCCAGGCAGACAGAGGTTGTGTGTTTTTAGAAGCTTTGGCTGCAAGCCCAAGCAGATGATTGTTAACACAGAAAATAATCCAAATAAAAACACTTAAAAATACTGTAACACAGCTAAGCAGCAACAATGCTCAAATACTTTTTAATCACCTGATGCTGAAGCATTTCTTTTTTTCTGTACCCGTRGCTTTTCTTCTGGTTGGTTTTTATCTTGATTTCTTTCTTTATGTAGTTCTTTATGTAGTTCATTAATAGGTAAGTCATCACTTTCACTATTACCATGCAGTACTTTTTCAGCAGCTGAATGCTCTTCATTATTTTTTCTATTATTATGCTCATTTTGACCTTCCAAACGTTCTTCTTCATCATCCTTTCTGTCATTCTGTACGCTTTCACCTTTTAAAACCATTATTTGCTTAAGCTTCTCTTTATGAAAGGATAAACTCAAGTCATCAGAACCTTCATTTTCCAAATCTACTGAATTGTGTGAAGCATCATCATTCAAGTCCTCAACAGCAACAGATTTGTCAGTGCTTGTAGAACCTGAAATACTTTCSGTAAGTTCTTTCCCAATATCTGCAAAGAGCACATTACCAACTTTCATTTGATACAAGTGGAAAAAAAAATGCAACACAAAAGCTGAATCTATAACTAACACTATTTTTCATATAACACCCTCCTGACTTTAGCTTCTGAGCATTTCTCTTTCTATGCCTCTGACATCTGCTAAGACACCGAACTACAACTTTATTCTACCTTCTTTCCTGTCATCTGTTTTTGTGGACCCAATCCAAAGAAAAATATTAACTTATTCTTTTCTGCCACACAAGTTAAAGCCCTTCTGAAAAGCAATGTCTCAATGTCATAGGAAGTGAAGCAAGTCAACAACAACAAAGCCAATCATGTTTGGTATTAGAATCCATCCTCCCTTCCCTTCTCTTCACTTCTGCCCCATTTAAAATCTACTAGAAGATATTTGAAGTATCTTCTATAATGTTTCAGATGTTCAACAAAAATATTTATCTTCCTTTAGCCGATTATTGCTAATTGACCTAATTTCAGAGTTCAAATAGTTGAGGAAGGTGACAAAACAATGTCATGATAGCAGAGTARCATATTTACTGCTGGAAGCTTTTTTCCCTAAATGTTTCAGCAAAGGGAAATCCAAGCACCCCACAAACTCTTAAAATTTGTTTCATCTGTGAATGAAAAACAGGCCACAGAGCAAGTCCTTTTAAAAATACATGATCATATTTAACATTCCTGTTTTCCTTAAAAGGTAGTGCCATACCAGCAGGAAGAAGAGTCATTTGGCCAACCTTGCTAGCCTAAACATAAACATTAGGAAAATATCAAATGCATCCTCCTACAAGACAAACATCCAGCTCAAACCTATTCCTAGTTTACGTACACTGCCAGGCAAGCATTCTTTGCAGCCCTTATTCACTGACTGCCCACACTGGGAAAACAGTAAGAAAAAAGCATTGCCCTTCTCTCTGCCCATGTCCACTTTCATTAACAGTACTGTGCACTACTGTCTCATCCAGGTGTAAAGTAAACAAGATGGCTAAGGAGGAGAACTGGGCACCACAATGGTAGGAACCATTACATACTGATGGTCTAGCAGGTTGGCACCTCCAMTGCTTTAATTCGAAATTCTGCTGCTAACTTGGCAGAGGAGGACTCAGTGATTTAGATGCTGTTAAAATATGAAATTTTGGAACAGTAAATCACATTGACACATAAAGCTTCCCTGGGATCTAGTAATGAGTTCAGAAAGGGAAGGACACAGGGAAAAATATTTAACTTYGTTTTACCCTTTAACAAGACATCTTCTTCACTTTCAAAGTCGTCTGAATATCCATCTGTTTCCTTTCTTGTTGCATAATCAGAAAGTGTTTCCTGYAGCTCATCCTGAAATGGCTTCACAAATAACTTTTACATAAAAGGAAATAATCACTTGAACAAGTTCATCACTAATTCTCCCCTCCCACACATACTGAAGTAAAACTGAGCAACAGAGGTAAGCCCATTTAATTGACAATTATTGTGGAGCACAGAGCCTCAATTCTACCTCCATTCCCCTAACATTTCTACATTAAAAAGTCCCCAAATCACCATGTATTTATTTATTTACATTTCTTCTTCCTAAGAAACATATCTTGCAAATCCCTTCTCCATTTTTGGCACTTTTGACGTATCATCATGTGACATTTCTTCTCTTTTGTATGTTTTGATGGCAAAGAGCACTAGAGAGTAGGTGAGCATGGACGACCTCTTCACTGCCGCAGGACAGGAGCCTGAAGCAGGTGGCAGCTCCAAATCAGTGGGAGAACTTCACTGTGGACTCTCTSTGCTCCAGGACACCACATTTACATGATTCCCAAGGGTACTGGCCTTACTTATAGATTGCAAATACATTAAGAAACGCCCCGGTATCTCCAGATTCGAGACCCTGAGGCACAAAGCACGGTGAACAGGTGGTTTGTGACGAGCCTAGGGCGCTTCCCGAGGCTGCTGTACGGGCTGTCAGGAACGGGGCAGCCTAACCCGGGCACGGCGAGCAGCTCCCGGTGTCCTCACGGAGGGCAGCCTGCTTGCCCGCTTGCATTTTGAAAGCAAYGCGGATTTTTGCGGGCGTGTTGCGTGTACCAGCGAATTAACCTATTCCCAGTGGCATAAACCCGCTCTCAGGCCCCGTTCCCCAGCGTTACCCGGCCCCTGCCCCTGCCCTGCCTTGCCCCGGCCGCCGCCGCTCACCTGCATGCCGGCGACGCCTCCCTGCGACATGGCGGAGGCGTCTGGCTACCTCCTCTCAGCGCCCGCGGCCGCCGCCGAGCCCCGGGAAAGGAAGAAATCCAGGAAAGAGTGCCGGGAAAAGCGCGAACCCCGAGAAAAGCGCTGCGAAAGACCCGCGGGCCTGGCCCGGCCGCGCCGCCCGCTCGGTGCCGCCGTCGCCCGGCAACGGCCGCGCCGGGATGGCCTTGGAGAGCCGGGAATGGCCGCGTGTGGCAGCAGCGCCGCTTCCTCAGCACGGACACAGCTGTACTGCCAGCATTGATTATCGGTGCCCGTGCCCTGCCACCATTTATTATCCTGCRAATAACCCTGTGCCCACAAGGAGCACGTCCATACGGTTATGACACTCGCAGCAGGGCTGTCACACCTTCGTCAACCCCACTCTTGCAGTCAGGTAATTGTCCAAAACCTTCCCATCTGGGATGTGAACATTTTCTGTAAGAAATACACTAATTGTAGTGCTTTAGGRAATGCAGATCTCAGAGCACCTCTGTGTTAATTTGAATTGCATTTTAGACATGAAGAAATTACTGTGATATAGAAGTAAATCACCTGGTGCTTGCACATCCTAATGCTCCAATTTTTATTTCCCCAAAGGGAAAACAAAAGGGTGCGATCCACCAGCCTCCCGTTGAGCAGACACCTTGCCCAGCAGCACACGTCCCTGTGGAGCTGGCTGTCCTAGAGGTCATCTGGCCACTGTATGGGCYGTGGTGAAAACCCCTGAATCCCAAAATCTGAATCCCTGAAATCTGATGAACCCCTGAACCTGAAACAGTCTGATGCAGTCTCTTGCATCAAAGGAAAGCTGCCCACTTCAGGACCATTTACACGTACAGGCATTTCTATTCTTTCTCCAGTTTAAATTCTTCTGATTGCTCCTTTTTTAAAATAAGACCAGTGCTCCACTTGTCTTAGTGATAACAAAGAATTTCTGACGTGTTCTCTATAGTGGTGTTATATTTATATATATTAATCTTCCCCAAAATGCATTGCATTTTTGCAAGTTGTGCAGAAGAAAATTTCTCTGACAGAAACAGGGAGAGAATATGTAGGACAGARCCCAGAGCCTTAGGACTTGTTTTCCTCTTGTTTATTTATGTAGAGTTATATTTTAAAAGCAGTGCAGTTATGCAAAGGCCAAAACACACCTGGGGGAAAGAGGCTCTGCATTCTAACAAGGAACCTTGGATTTAATTTAACAGTTATTTGCCATAAATTAATTAATATTTTGGTGTCTTCTGTAAGCAGCTCCTTGTTTTGTTTACCTAGCTTTATTTATGGCCAAATAATGCTTGATATGCTGACTAATCATGRTATTTGTTGAGAGTGATGCTTGATGCAAATCTTTCCCCCCCCTATTTTATTCCCATGTGAAAGCCTTAAATTTAAATATGTGCTATTCCATCTCTCTGAAAAAGGTGAAACTGGACATACTTGTTAAGAATTTAAAGAGGAAGACAGAAGAAATGCATGTATTCTTTCTCTAATAATGTCAGCAATTGCTGTTGAAATGTCCCTGTTACAAACCACTGAGATGCACRTTTTATTCAGTTCCAAAAGGTGGCAGCAAAATATTCTAAAATTTTAAAATGGGTCTTTTTTCCAAATGTCYACTTTATTCTAGCTTATTTCATATTATTGCCAATGTTTATGGGATTTTTTGAGAGACATTGAATTCRTTTAGGCTTGCATACACTGTAGGAAGGAAGATTCCATTTCAATTATTGTGCTATTTACACTGAGTCAGACAATGGGTCCTCATATCACCTGTACTATTAAATATTCAATGCACTGACTTGGTTGGATGCAGGAAAAAAAATATCAATACTGTCAGCACTGAGGAACTCAAAATGTGTGAAGATGTTTTTGTCAAAACACATGAACATCAGGTTTGCATCTTCTAGACTTACCTGAGGCAAAAATCCCATTGAGACCCATGGAGGTGGATGGGATTTATGCCTAAAAATGAATGTAGTGCTTTAAGAGACTTAAAAAAAAAAAAAACCCAAAAGAAAAAAAAAAAAAAAAAAAAAAAAAAAAAAAGCTGACAAAAAAAAAAAAAAAAAACCCCAACACACACACAACAAAAACAACAAAAATCCACAAAGAAACAAAACACAAAAAGCCCCCAACCAACCAAAAACCTCCAAACATGGATGTATATTGAGGATAAAAAGCAGAAGATTTTATGATATGAAAATGACCCTTAATGTCTGCTTTTTAATTAGTAACTGACTAATATATCACAAGTGTAAATTGTACAAGGAAGGGTGTATTTGAAGGTGAAGTTTCTCTTTCTTTCTTTAGCAGAGATGGAACTAGGCTGTAAATGATCCCAGCAATTATATTAATTTGGATAAAATAAACTTAGATTCTGCTGACCAAATGTGTGTGAGTCTCTGCCATGCCGAGAATCTTAAAAAAGATACTTTTTAAAACAAGCATCACGATGCAGTGTGATTACCATCTGCAGGAATGATGTTACATTCAGAAAGCAGTCAAGTATGAAGAGATTTTTGGATGGGTAATTTACATGCATATAAACAACTTCCAGAACTGGTTTATTTTTTTATTAATGTGTCTAGGGTTTGTAAGACAGGATTTGGGWCTCCTTCTGAACAAATAGATTAAAAATTCTAAATTCTAATATAAGTCACCTTAAGTCAAAATATATAAAACCTCTTACTGGACAGCAATATTGTTCTGCTTGCTTTAATACTCCTTCCCAAATTCAAAAGTTACAYTTGAAAGGAGATTTAATGCCATGACAAAATCTTGGAGTGGGTGTACAATCCTACAGAAAGTGATTTTTGAGTTGGTTGCCAGTGTCTTGGCTCATAAATGACTGCTCCTGTTCTTGACATCACGGTGAATTAGACCTGCAGCTACARGTGCATCTGGCTCTTGGACCTTGTACATGTATTGGTTTAGTAGAATAACAAGTAGCTTCAGTTCCAAACGACAATGAGCTCTTCCTTCTAGGGGTCACCGTCACAGACATTCTTAAGCACAAACAATAAAAATTATTATTCTCACATTTTCCTCCCAGTTCATGAAATAGTCCATTAGTGAATAGTGAAATAGTCCATTACAATGTACCAAGTCTTGCCTGTCTTGCCAAAATATACTCATCTTCTTAGGCTTGTCTTGAAATAAAACCAGAAACGTAATCAGCTTTGTGCCTTTAGTGTTAGATGTGCCAAGGAATGTGCCGCGTTTTTCTCTGCCGGTCATTCTGTATAGACATGCCTGAGCTGGGCTTGACCTTCTCTATCTCAGGTGTGGGAGCAGCATTGCTSTTGGGAAAACATTCAAAGCACAGAAAAAGCTGGGTGGGTTGCTAGGTGAGCTTCTGATCTGCCATACATACTGTCCCATCTCAGCTACTGAGAGGCCCAAAATTGCCTGAACCAGTTCAAAATCCCTTGGGATTTACTGCAAAAACAGTCACCCACCTCAATAGGACCTCAGCTATCTCTGTACCTATATAATTTTGAGTAAATTACATTCTTTCTCAGAGAACAATCTATTCAAACCATAACACTGCCAATCTAACAGGCAAAGATTTGACAATTAACCTTAATTAACTCAATTTGTATTGTCATTTGTTCATATTACCAATATCCTGGGATTATTCCATAGCTACTCCTGAAAGATCTGAAGGATTTGGCTTGCTCCTTCTTCTTTTTGTACATCTCAGTCACTCCTGCAAAGACAGATTTGGGTGTATTTTTTCACCATCTGATTTTATTTTATTTTTTAAACAGAAAATAAAACTAATGCTCAGTGCAAACAGCTAAACAGACAAGGGTCGGGAAATGCCAAAATGGAGCATGCTAATGTATCCTTCCCCCATTTCCCTTTTGCATTTGGATTGTTATACAATCTTTAATTAAGTGAATGAATTTAAATACTTAATAACTTTATTTACATGGAAACCTTTTTTTCAGGATAAAAAGACATATTTCTTCTTTTATTTTATGTAAAAGAAACTGTCATTCAGTGATTAACATGGCAGTTTGGTCCACACTACATAGAGAAAAAGAGTCATATTCCAGTAGGTTACAAAGTAAATATGGTTTTTTTTTCAGAATAACTATGTTTTTAACCACATCTGGGACCACAAGCTGTCAGATTGGAATATAAGCTTAAAATTTAGCTTGACATTTTCTTGATCATTCTTATAGAAGTTCTGATTATATAAAAAAATATATTTCTTATTTTCCTGGAATTATATTCAGTGGCTTCCTTTCCAAAAGAGAGTAGCTAAGTTTGTGATAATGCATTTTTAATGCATTGAACATAATACTATCCTTAAAAGGTGGTGCCATGAAAATCAGATGGAAATCCCTCTTGTCATCAAATTCAACCTCTCACTTTTACATATTGATCTGATTTGTAAGTAGTTAAAGAAGATGCTGTCAGGGTAAGAAGGCATGCAATCTTCACTTAGTAGATTGTTTTTCTCAGGCATTTTACCAGGAACGYTGAATTTGATAAAATTAATGGACACAAGAACATAGATATTGAAGGAACAGACTGCAAACTTTGAGCGAAATAAAGAAGAAACTAGGATGAATAAATTCACAACTACATCACTTACATGGCAGTTTATGAATACATGTGTTCGTGACTGGTTAATTTATTCCTGAGCAATAGACTTAGAAGTAGCAGATGGAGGTAGATATCCCAAAAGCAAAGGAAAAAAAAAAAAGTATCCTTGACTTTATAAAGTTATTTTAGGCTTTATTTTTTTTAGGCTGCCTTTTTTTTTGTAAATAGTACTTGATGTGACTTTAAGGAAAAACGTTGGAACACAGAGGAATGAGACACAGCTGTCTTGGTGTTGTGCTTGGTCATAGTAACAGGCAATGAACTTTTAAACAGACAAAGCTTGTTTGTGTTGGTGACAGCAGATTAGACTTCCTCTAAGGGGAGTCAGAAAATGCAAACCTTTTCACATCAAGTGGAGTCGTTTTGTGTGCAAA